GAAAAAGTTAACTTACGTTCAAGGTTGCGTGACAGTTTCAATTCCGGGAATCTGAAGGGACTTTTCTCCGAATCCAATTAAGGTCATTAAGTTCTTGCATCACTTAGTTTTGTCGATGATTTTCACGAGCTTTTAAGACTAATTATAGAAAATAAAGTGCTAACGATACGTGAACCATTAAATTTTCTTCGTCTGGAAAGTAAAATAATCCCTTTGAAGCGAACATTTCGTGAGAATGAACGAGTTATTCCTCTAGTCGTTCCAGACTCCACGCGGAAACGAAAACGGACGCCTTGTAAAGAATGTGTTTGGGGGAAATTTTTATCGTTTTGAGTCACAAATCGTACGACGTTCTTAATTTCTATTCTATTTTTACAATGAAAGCAGTTGCCAAGTGACGTGAGCACAACTACGAAAGGGAAAGCCCCAAAAACGAAGGAAAATTTCCATTACATAGCGAGGAAATATTTTCATTTCACTTTGAAAGCCCCGTTGTAGCGAAACATCATGGATTTTAAGGTTACTCGAAAGCTAGGTTTTGAAAGAACAAATTTTCGATGAAGTCCTTAGCACAGTCGATTATAAATAACGTAACGCTTTGTTCGGAAAGAAAGAGCAAACACTGGCGTACTTTCGAAGGAAAATATTTCGCTGCTTTCTAACCACATGTGATATCTGTTATGTGATGACTTGAACTGTCATCTTCAAATACATTTACTATACACTTGCTGCGATTATTGCACCCTTTCTTTTTGCTTCTTTTAGTAGAAGGAGAATAAATAGGCAGCAAAAAAGTAATTGAGAAACATTGTAAGACGACTCAACATGGACATAGTTACCTAAAATAATGACAGACATAAACGTTTGACAATTTATTGGGACGAAATTCATAATAATATTTACATCACTAGCTTGTTCACTCCATGCTCAGACATTATTCGTTTTTAACTTCACGTAGTAGCGAACAAAAAGCTTTTCTAGAGCACTATGTTACCGATATTGAAGGCTTATAAAGGACTTATCACTTGTAAAGATAGGAGTAAGCTTAAAAGAACAATAGTAACTGTTTACTATAAGATTGCAATAAGATAATCTTAAGTAATCGACTTTCAATACGACAGAATCTTCAAAGTAGCGATTTAAACTGTAATCATATCACAACGAACAGTTATTTGCCTTATAGTTTGATTTTATTGATGTTGAACAGAAGATAGAGACCTGCGTTTAAGTTCATGTTTACAAGCAAAACAGACCAACAAGTTTTTAAACACTGAGCGCTGTAAGGTAATGACCGGGTATGATATTGATGAGAGATAGTAGTTAATTAGAGGGGACGTGTTTGGGCAAAAACGTTTCAAACAGAGCATTTTTCGCAAAAACGAAAATGAAACAAACCAGGTGACGTGTGGCCATCGGCAATTATTGAATACATGAATTTTTATTATGACGGCCTCTTAAATAACGCTACGTTTCAATTTCCAACTTTTCAGTCGATCTCGCCTAAAGTACTTATATGTTACAAGGGATTTTTGGTTCTGAAATATCTCAGTTCTAACAATGCAACTCTTTTATCCTATCAACCAGAAATCCACTGCTGGCTATTTCTAAGCAGGTTAAAGCACTTTCTCGGCGTTCATGCGATCTGATCCAGTGAAATAGTGTATTCATTTCCGAGTTTATCCTGCCAACAAAAGCAAAGAGGATTTATTACTTTCTAATGCTGAAATCAACACTGAATTAAATACTGCACTGTCTGATGATCGGATTTGGCCGATAACCTTAGACAAACAGACAACTCGATTCTTCAATAATAGCAATCTTGTGCAGAAAGCAAATATTCAACTGCACAATAGAACCTATTAAGGACTTATTCTACAGTTTATCACTTAAGAAAAGTAGCCATAAGGAAGCCGTTCGTCGGAATATTGACTTAGATAGCCTTCTACTCAGTTTCGAGTCCAAAACATGAGCTGAAAAGCAAGATAATGAGTTGTTTCTAACCTTCAAACACGAAGCACTCTCATCATTTGGCTTCGTTTACATCGCTCTTTCCTTCTTGCCATCTTTGAATCTTGGTTTCATCTTGGAAACGGAGACATAATGTTAGTATTGGGTTAGGCGTTAAGCAGCAGCTAAGATGTCTCGAGATCACGCAAATAAAAGCAAAACAAACCATCCTCTGGCGGTGGTTCGGGAGTTTCAAAACCCGTTGCTCCTGTGAGTGTACAAGCCCATGCTAAAGCGGCCACTTTGAGACGTTTTTCGAGACCTTTTCCGTCGGTGGCTGGCTCCATTTCGTTTATACACGAAATAAGACGCAAATCGCAGCGAATGAATATAGCAAATGATAAATTTCACAAAGCCCAACGTGGGAGGCAGTGACCTGAATATTAAAATACCACAAAAAGCTGACGGGGGAGTCCCAATATCTCGTGCCCTCAGGTTTGTTGTGACAAGTGCAAACGCTTAGAGCTCTGTCAACCAATCAGCGTTCTGCAAACAGGACAGCCATGTCACTTGCAGGGTAGAAATAATTGATGTCTCAGTGGAGGTAGCTATATTTACATTTTGATCAACCAATCACCAAACGAGGATCTTAAACCTTCATGAGCGTTTATGCAAATAAAAAACATGGAAACACTTCTGCACGCAATGACTCAAACAAAAAGACCTGAACAATTTGGATGAAGTTGCTCGTCCAAAAACTCAATTTCACCGCCCTGGATCGACCATCTGACCGTTCTAACGATCCATTCTATGAAGTCAGAAATGACCAAATAAGGTAACGATTATAGCAGAACGTGCTCGCTCAAAATATAACTGCTTCATAAGCACATTCCACGTGATAAGAGAATGACTACGTTGCACTTTCGATTTATCTGTCAACACAGCAGTTTCTTTGTTCCATTCGAAACTGCTCGCTTAGCACATTCTTGTTCGCTTACGTAACAATAAACACGAAACCGAAAACGCTTTGCAAGCACCTTTGCTTCACGACAACAAAGACCGTTTACTCTAAATAAATTTTTTGCCAAGGTGAACGACACGTACCGATGCAAGCCACTGCGTCCTTGACAGGCAATCGATCATCTTTCAGTGACAGGTGCACGTGAGGAGAATCTACGCCTTGATCTTCTCGCTGTAAATTGCTCGATTAGAAGCCATTTCAAAGACGCTAAATTACCTAGACAAGGTTTTTGTGGGGTTGTCTACCTTAGGAATCGCGCAACAACGCGAATGTTACAAAATCTGAGGAAAATTTGATTACGTGCAGAGATGCCATGTCGGTATCCTTTTGATTGTAAATGGGTGTCACATGAAACGTGGATGTATTGCGTGTGGCCCACGCAAAAAATTTCCCTGCGTGTGTGTCTACCAAAACAAACATCCCTGTAAACCGAAAGTCGAGCAAGAGGAAGGTAAGCAGAGCTACCCAGATAAAATAACTAATCATCGCTAACAGAAACAAGGTTACCTTCTGCTGCAGGTATGCACGGGCAGGTACGAATTATTTCGCTATAGTTCTTTTCCCTCGTGTCTGTATGTTGAAGAAATATTGGTATAACCTGCATTAAAGAAAACCTTTGGTTTAATCCAAGGAAAGCGATCAACACCGATCGTTCTCGCATCCTACAGTCACTTCTGTTCCTAACTTAAGTATTATATTTTGACTGCAAGGCATTAAACATGTTTCTTTTCTTTCCTCCTAGCTCGGAAGGAACATCAATGGCCATCCATGATTTAGCAAGGTACGAGCAATCTAATAAGTTACAACGAGAAATTATTTATAAAATGTATGGTGAAGATCGTACAGTCTTCGCTGTTAAAAGATGCCTTCTCTTNATTTTTTGCCAAGGTGAACGACACGTACCGATTCAAGCCACTGCGTCCTTGACAGGCAATCGATCACCTTTCAGTGACAGGTGCACGCGAGGAGAATCTACGCCTTGATCTTCTCGCTGTGAATTGCTCGATTAGAAGCCATTTCAAAGACGCTAAATTACCTAGACAAGATTTTTGTGGGGTTGTCTACCTTAGGAATCGCGGAACAGCGCGAATTTTACAAAATCTAAGGAAAATTTGATTACGTGCAGAGATGCCATGCCGGTATCCTTTTGATTGTAAATAAGTGTCACATGAAACGTGGATGTATTACGTGTGGTCCACGCGAAAAATTTCCCTGCGTGTTTGTGTCTACCAAAACAAACATCCCTGTAACCCGAAAGTCGAGCAAGAGGAAGGTAAGTAAAGCTACCCAGATGAAATTACTAATCATCTCTAACAGAAATAAGGTGAGCTTCTGCTGCATGTATGCACAACCAGGTACGAATCATTTCGCTGTACTTCTTTTGCCTCGTGTCTGTATGTTAAAGAAATATTGGTATAACCTGCATTAAAGAAAAGCTTTGGTTTAATCCAAGGAAAGCGATCAACACCGATCGTTCTCGCATCCTACAGTCACTTTTGTTCCTCACCGTGCTTAAGTATTACATTTTGATTACAAGGCATTAAACATGTTTCTTTTCTTTCCTCCTAGCTCGGAAGGAACATCAATGGCCGTGCATGATTTAGCAAGGTACGAGCAATCTAATAAGTTACAACGAGAAATTATTTATAAAACTGTATGGTAAACATCGTACAGTCTTCGCTGATGAAAGATGCCTTCTCTTTGTATGTGTTTATGGCACAAATATTATTAAACCCAACCTTGAAAACAAAATATCCATCGAGTGTTGTTTGTTGAAGTAACTGCGCTTGAGAAACTCCGAAACAGTCATAAGATTTCCACAGGGATAAATGCAAAATAATCTATAACATGTTTATCTGATATCNATACCATCGTAGGGTTTACGGCTCAAGTAGGGTTCATGATTGAACAAGGAACAAAGAATGGCAACAAGACTTTTAAGATCATCTCGACTAAAGGACAAATAAACACGATTCAACGACAACCAGGTATTTAATGAAATATACACTGCCACGCCGTTATTGTCTTGCTACTATTTGTAGCCAACTTCTTCAATAATTTTGTGTACTTTTAAAGGAAAAGACGAAGGCAAGTACACAATTGCAGATGGAAGCGGCAAGGTCACCACGTCAAGAACTTACTTGCCAGCTAGTTAAAACCAAGGTAAGAGACTTCTATCTCTTTGTCAATAAACGCAACGGATAATCGATCCAACAAATGACAAATTTCTAAGACGCAAAGTACTACTGAATTAAGTATAAGCAATACAAACACGATGGCGCATTGCCAAGATCAGTTCTTAACATAGCGCTTACACAAGCCAGCTACGGTTTCATCTATCACAGCATTCTGACATTCTCGTGTATCTTTAAATCGTTCGCTAGCTCAACGCTAGTTGCCGTTTTACATTCATTTACGAAAAATCTAGACATAGATTGAAGCAAAATTCATTTTCTTAACAGATTGGTGACGACTTAAACAAGAATCAGGAATTACAGAATGCCTCATGACAAAATTAATAGTAGTTGTATGTAAAAACATTGCTGATCTTGATAATAAACTGAATCTGTTAAATTCAAGTGTAGACCATTCAACTATACTTCGCGCGTATGAAGTTAAACTTTTATATTACTTGCACTGCGGTAGAAACGAGTCGGAACTGTAAATATAATCAAACTACCCGACGAATAGTAAATCAGAAATGCGCTCACAACACGAGCATTATACAGAAGAGTGAAAACATCTCGTTTAATTAAATGCCATGTCATGTCTCGAAATGCTAAGACCAGCACGCGCGCGATACTGGAGATCCAAATTTGTTCTCTCCCTACCTTCGCTCATCCCCTTCCTAAGGAGGACTGATTAATAAGCATTCTTTGTTGTTGAGTCAGATACCTCACGCTAGGAAAAAGCATCATGGAATTAAGTTTTCATAACAAGACATTTTGCTCTTCAATGTTGGGAGATCTGTACTAAAACATATTTTGCTATTTACTTGAAAGAGTACATTCTGTAAAGCTATCAAACCATAGAGCCGCTTTAAAACTGTCTAAACGACAATTTTGATTCTAAACTGCGACTGATTTTACAAACAAACGAGGCGCGCACATCACGTAACATTGAAATCTGTCCACAAAGACTGGCTAAAAAAGATTCCAGAGTAAAATGTGGCGCTTACGAAAAGTTTGGTCGTTTTATCCTCCTACACACAGCCAACACTAGTAAAATTTAACAATCGAGTTAGCCATCCATTTGTCATCGAAACTGATTGTAAAGGTACATCACAGAAATGCTACGAAATGCTAACTGAACGAAACGAGGCAGTCTAAATTCGGACAAAAACTATCAGGGAACTTAATGCTCAAATCAGAAGAGACAGTGAATCAGAATTTCACGATCTACGTACTAACTGCTGTCTCAAGTACAACAACAGGCCGAGTCGAAAACAATTAGATGGAACAAGACCGAGCTTAGAGCGCAGATTATTAAGCCTTATATCATTATAGAAACAAATAAGAGGAAACGCACCCTCAATTGCGTTCATCTCCTCCATAGTTCTTCTCTACTCAAACTGTATGTCTTAAAGACAATATTTACGAACATTAAAATCTCTCTGAAACATGTTTTTTTTTCTACTGCGCAATAAACATCGCAGAACGACTGGAACTTTCCTTGCCTCTTAAACAGCCACAGAAATTTAAAGTGTGACGTTTATACTTTTATGAGAAGCTATTGGTCGCGTACTTTTATTTTGTTGGGACGCGCATTCCCCAAAGCACCTGGGGCGAAACGTCATTGGAGAAGGTCAGGCCATAATTTGACAGCTTGTCAATCAACGACGTCATTCAGAAACAATTATATGTCTTTCTTAGGCCCTCGATTTTTCTCGTGCTTGTGTGATCAATACATAAAATTACACAATGGCGTTTCTATACAACACACTAGATGCTAGGAAAGCTGAGCGCTTGGTCGTTACAAAGTGTTTCCTTTACATGGCAACGTAATGAATAGATCGATGGAAGGAATTCCAGAGGTCTCCTCGCATTTCTCTCCACAAAGCAATGAGCAATATACTCAGAAGAAGAAAGACAGAATACTACGAAACAGACACATCTACCTCACGTTATTTGGAAGAATCGCGACAGAAAAACGAATTGAAACGTATTTCATTTGTTTATTGTGTCATACTTGGAATGTCTGAATGCTTTGATGATATAACGTCCCTTTTCTTTAGCAGTACATAACAAAGTGGTAAGACACGACAAGCACAAATAAACAATCCAGATCAAAAATATAGTAACTCAACGTTCAGTTTCTACCCTTTCGAGGAT